TTGTTGTTATCTTCCTCTTTCAGTCTGTTTGTTTAGTTTTAAGTTTAACACTTTAAACTACTTAATGCAAGTAATATGTTCCTGTCTCTAAGTCACGTTCCAGTTGTCGAGCTGTGAGACACCGGTGGGAGTTGCCGTGTTCAACTCGGTCACGTGGCTGGGGCTCAGGGTCCAGCTGGTGGAGCCACAAACCACCGGGTGAGGCCCTTTGCTGAACCCGGCACCGTTACCCGCTTAGTGCGTAAAAAAACTAAATAGGACCTTTTTTGCCGGTATAAAAGTTTGAGAAAGTAATAATGATAGGTTTTACCCTTTATGGCAATACAACATGAGTTGTGTTCAGGTTTTCAAACACCAAATAAGTTTGTGTGGTTAATGCAGACTTTATTCATTGCAACAGTCATCAATTTTGTGTTCGAACATCTTAACACCTCACCGGACCTCCCTTGCCAGTATCAAAATATAAGAATAATAAGTTTTACCCTTTCTGGCAATAAAACAGGAGTTGTGTTAAGATGTTAAAACACCAAACAGAAACCTTAGCGATGAATAATGTCTTCATTAACCACATACAGTTATTGTGGTGAATATGCAAACAAAACATCCTCTGATAATTATAAAGGCATTGTATGTGAAACTGATTGGGGCACGCCGGCTGAGGTGGTCCCTCAGGGTGGCTCTGTGGTCCCGCCCGCAGGATCGGAGCTCGTGATCCTCTCAGCGCCGTCGGAGATGCTCCTCCGGCCACCCCGCTCGAGGAGGAGTGGCTATCGACTGGCAGACCTCCATCCGCACCGCTGCCCCCAATGGGGGGGCCGCGGCCGCCCACCTGTGACGACGCTACCCCCACACCTTCCGGGGTGCTTCGGCCCACCTCCCCTGGGGGTCCGGCCACGCGGACTCGCTCACGGACCGCACGGTTCAAATGGCACTTTCACACATGCAGATTGTTCCGCTGGTCTTTAATGTTACGATCGCGCGTGATTTTTCTCCACCCACAGAATTGCTGTTGTGGTTCAAAGAGTTGCGAGTGAGGGGGGGGGGCGTCTTGGGGTGTTGGGGTTGTCCGTTCCCGTTTTTTTGTGTTGATGCTTGTTTGTCTTCTTGTTGGTGCGTTCGTGGTTCGTTAGGGGTTCTATATTTGTACATTTGTTCTCTTGTTATTTTTTGTCAGCGGTTATTTATTGACGTTGCTTGTTGGGGGCACACTGTATTTTTTTCCCTGTGTTATCACAGCTGGGACGGCTGTATTTTTACATGGGGGAGGGGGGTGATGTAGTGTTACGTCACTACCGTGTGGGCCTCCACACACACGCGTGACGTCACAACCTGGGGGAGTGTCACTACCTCGCGCGGGTCCACACACACATGACGTCACTACGTCTGCATGCGGGAATGACATCACTGCCGTATCAGGGGGTCTGGAGGCCGTGGGTCAGTACCGCGGGGGTTGTGTGAGGCCGTGGCACTCTGGATGACCCCGGCTGGACACGTGACTGGATCAAGGTGGGGGCCGGGGGCCCCGGGGGCACCCTGGGGACCACGTGGTCACCTTCTCTAGAGTTCTGGAAGGTGGGCGTGCCCGGGGTGTGGCCCGCACACGCCGAGGCGCATATAAGCGGGCTCCTCACCTGGTGCGGGGCTGCTCGGGTCCAGGATGAAGATGCCTCGTGAAGACGCCTCGTGAAGAAGAAGAGTCAAGCCTCAAGTCAGCGTGGCCAACCAGTAGCCTTCCTGGCTTGGCCACACGAGTCGTATCAGAGCGTCAGTGTTAGCGAGTGTTAGCAAGTGATGATGTGTGCTAGCGAGGATAGGTCGGTGGTCACCACCCGATGTTAAGAGTTACCCGTTGTGTTAATAATAAAAAGTGTTGCCTCCCAAGTTCAGTGTGTGCGCCTCTAACGAACTATTACACTACTACACACTACACTATTATACACTACTATACACTCTACTATTATACACTCCACAATACACTACACTATACACTACAGAATACACTACTATACACTACACAATACACTACTATACGCTCTATTATACACTACACTATACACTGGTATGCACTCCACAATACACTACACTATACACTACAGAATACACTACTATACACTATACAATACACTACACTATACACTACTATACACTACACAATACACTACTATACACTGCAACTATACACAATACACTACAATACACTACTATACACTACTATACACTACACTATACACTAGTGCTGTACTAGTATACTACACTATACACTACACTATACACTAGTGCTGTACTAGTATACTACACTATATACTACACTACACACTACACATTACACTACACTTTGTGTCATGAGTCTATGGGTCTCTGTATCATGAGTCTATGGGTATCTGTGTGGTGAGTCTATGGGTCTCTGTCTTAGTCTATGGGTCTCTATGTGAGTGAATTTATGGGTCTCTGAGTCTGGTTCGGTGTGTGTGTATGGGTGTTTGTGTGAGTGTGGATCTCAGTGTGAGTCTATGGGTCCCTGTTCGTGAGTCTGTGTCTCTGAGTGAGTTTATGTCTCTGTGTGGTGAGTCTATGGGTCTGATTGAATCTATAAAAGTGCTAATGCATAACTCTTTCACGTTCACCGTGCAGTAGACTTTGCACATTTGTGTTGATAAACAGAACGAGCACTACAATAGGATTTGTATTGAATCAGATACAGCGAGTACTGGTCTGGCCACACACAAACTCAAGTCAAATTAGTCTGTGTCGCTGTACGTGTATTGCTTTCTATAGACTGTGGGTTAAAGTCACTTCAAATAAACAATAATACTCAAGACAATAACACGTGCTGCGTGTTCTTTTTTACCTTCGATTTTTATTGACCATTTTTTTTCTAATCAAACACGAGCAACCCGCACGGCCTTTGTACCTGACTGTCCGTGCCTGTGTGTTGTTGTGTTTAGTTTGTTGTCCTTCCCCCGCACCTCCGATTAGCCCAGTTGGCTACATTCGTTGCAATATAATCTCAACACGCAATACATACAAGCAGGCGGCCAGGAATCCAGTTGGCAACACTTTGTGAGCCTTGGTTTAAGCAAAGCCTGGCTACTGCTGATGAGAAACAGAACGTCAGAACCTGTCCTTGCCTATGAACATCTGGGTAATTCGCCAGCATTGCACCTCCGATTAGCACGGTTGGCTACGTACATTGGCTAAGTACGGTGCGAAATAAGTTCAACATTCATACACTGCTTCACGTGAGCCTGACTCTGCTGCTGATGAGACACTGAATGTCAAAACCTGCCCTATAGTGTTGCTTGCGTTGAACCAAATGCCGCTTCAATTAGGAACTCCCAGAAGGCCGTGCCTGCGACTGATGGGATGAGTGAAACAATACGTGGTGTCAATCTTGATTTGAAGTTGTGACTGCAGGAATCCATACTCTTTGGTTTTTTCGCTGAAGTCACGTACGTAGAAAAATAATAGATCACGACGTTTCGATCGCAGCACAAGCAATCGTCATCAGGTGGGACAACCACGGCAAGAAAAAAACTGCTGAAGTAGGCGAGAGGCCTGCCGTGGCACGAGGTTATATAGGCCTCGGCAATAGGGGGGAGAGAGGAGGTGGGGGGAGAGAGGGGGCGGGGCAGAAAGTGGACCCCGCGGCAGCACTTGGAGAGATCTGAGAGATCGGCTGCAGGGGGGAGAGAGAAGGGGGCGGGGGGCAGAAAGTACGTGGTGTGTATTATGTCTTTAATGTTTCTTGTGGAGAGAACGGTTTTGCGAAGGAGGAATGATGATGATGTTGGTGACAATGATAGTAATGGTGATGGTAATGATGATTGTGATGAAGGTGGTAGTGGTGGTAATAATGGTGAAATGGTGATGATGGTATTGGTAGTTATCATTGTAATAATGATTGTAGTGATGGTGATAATGGTGGTGGTGGTGTGGGTGGTGATGATGACTATGGTCTTAATCATGGTCGTGGTGATGATGATTGTGGTGGTGGTGGTAGTGATGGTGATGAGGGAGATGGTGATAATGATGATGACGGTTATGGTGGTTTTCACGGTGATGATAGTGATGATGATAGTGATGATGATGGTCGTGATGATGGATGTGATAATGGTGATTATTCTGGTGTTTATTGTGGTGTTGATGATGATGGTAATGATGGTGATTGTGATGATGATGATGATGGTGGTAACGATGATGGAGGTGATTATCGTGGCAGTGTTGGTAGTGGTGATGATGGTGGTGATGATAGTGATGATGATGGTGATGGATGTGATAATGGTGATGATAATGGTGGTTTTTGTGGTGTTCGTGGTGATGGTAGTTCATAATGGTTATGGTCGTGGTCGTAGTGATGATGAGGATAATGATGTTGATGATGTTGGTGATGATATTGATGATGATAGAGTGGGGGTGATGATAGTGATTAAAATGGAGTAATGACAATGATGCTGATGATCATGATGGTCGTAATGATGGTGATGATGGAGGTAGTGATGACTGGTGATTACAATGATGATGGTGATGATGATGATGATAGTGATGATGGGGTGATGATGGTGAATCGCAGGGATGGGGCGTGGTGACATGAGCGCGCACTGCAGGTGAAGGAGCGGCCACATGGACTCAAACTTCTGAACCGGCGATGTGCACTTCATAGGTGACATCGCTCACGCACACCAACCTGAACCTCACCCTCCCCCCTCACCCTCCCCTTCCATGCTCACCTCACCCTTCATTAAATTTTCACTTCACCCTCTCATCACCCCACCCTCCCCTGACCCCCACCTTGCCTCACCATCGCCTCTACCCCCTCCTTCCCATCCTCTCCTCTCCTCACCCACTCCTGACCCTTCACCCTCCACGCTTACCTGTCCCCTTCCCTCACCTTCCCCTCCAACTTACCCTCACCCTCACTTCACCCTCTCCTCACCATCCCCCCTTTCATCAGTTTCTTGGATTTCCGTCTCGGTTTCTTGGGTTTCTATTTTTCCTCATCCTCAGGATGCACGACTCAGATCCACGATCTTCAATGGTCCATTACAACACCCCACCCACATCGCAGGGTAGAGAGGCTGCAAGAATCTCTGCCGGACCTCGTGGATCACCTCCATGGAGTCGGCGCGGTAAAACTCCAGGAGCCCCCCCTCCCAGTGCAGGTGAAGCCCGATTCTGCGGGGGGACGGGGCCCCCCTCACCGACAGTGCAGTCTTCACTCCACCATGAACCACTGAGAAGTTGTCGTCACGTTTCTCTAAACACCAGGACGCGTCGTTCCCTCCCAGCCACTGTGCAGCACCACTCCCTTTCCGTGAGATCGTCCCGTAGGTGACTCCAACCCGACACCACCACGCGTCCCCCACGTCCACCTCCCAGTAGTGGTGGCCCGATGAGAAGCTCTCACAGCACAGGGCTTGTGGACAGCGATCAAACCGGTGTGGGTGCTTGGGGCGACGCTGGGAGTCACCAGTTCCCGTTATCGTCCTGAGATCCGAGGAGATCTGGAGTTTGTTATTAGCTGAGTTTGTGTCCAGAGTCGGTGAGCGTCCAACTGTGACAACAGCAATGACAATACCAATACAGAACACCGTCATCACCATTATCCACCATCACCACCTTCAACATTACCATCACCAACCATCATCTTCACCATCAACAATAACATCACAAGCATCCTCGCCATAAATATCATCAATGACAACATAAACATCACCATAACCACCACCATCAACACTATGAACATCAACAACATCACTATCGCAATAAGCAACATCACAACCATCATCACCACCACTAGCACCATCACAAACAATCACCACCACCATCACTACCATCACAACTATCCCCATCACCACCATCAAAACCATCATCACCACCATCACTACCATGACCACCATCACCAATATCATCACTACGACCATCAGCGCCATCAGCAAAACCATCACCACCTTTATTATCACCAATGTCAACATCATTATCATCACCACGACCAACACCATCACCAAACCCATTACCATTACCATTCCCATCACTCACATTATCCCTAACAGCATAATTCCCACCATCATCACGACCACTATCACCATCATTATGATCACTACTCATTTGAGGTTGAAACTGCCTAGCAGAGGCCCAGGATTGGATAAGATATCACCTGCCACTGATGTTAGCCATCGCGGGTAATCAAACCCAGGTAACTGGGTTCGTAGTGCAGTGTGCTAACCACTATGCTACCGCTCCTCCCATGCATAAATGCACAGACACATTCACAGGCACACACTCCATCTCAACATCACAATTACCCCTGTCCTGGAATGGGACAAGTGCTGTCCGTGAGAGTCTATGAAGGCTGGCAGGGCACACGAGGTGGGTGGCCAGCACCAAGCCCGACCACCTTTGTCTCCCTAGTGGCGATTTTGTTTACACACCGCATCAGTTTCCAGAATGTAAACAAAGACATCCCCCGTGTAGCCTTTACAGACTGTTGGGGAAAATCAGCAACGTTGAAGGCTGGCACAACACACGAGGGGGTGGATGGCCAGCACTACGCCTGGCCGCCTTTGTCTCCCTAATGGTGACGTCTATAACACACCAGGTACATATTTGAGGCCGAGTCGAACTCGTGCACACACATTTTACTGTCAAGATGGCCCCATCACCCATGATTCACACTGAATAACTCACACAGGAGTTTGACTGTAGGTGTCTCCAGGACTTGAGGCGAGGCAATGTCCTCTTGACTGGGAGCTGAGGGTGGAGCTGCTGTAACCCTCCCTGTCCTGTGAAAGCAGAGCAGACATGGCCACTGTCTCACATAGAGCATCGTCACTCACAGGATCATCACAGCTCCATTACATAAACGCATCACAGCATCATAACGCGTGGGATCATCACAGCTCCACACAGGCACCCATCAAACAAAGCATCATCACTCATCTCACAATTACAGCATCACCACACATAAATACTATTACCACACAGTATCAACACACAGCATAAACGCACACAGCATAATCACACACATCATCAACACACAGCATCACCATCACACGGCATCATCACACAGCCAATGTCTCACTGCCCGCACCCCATACTCAGTCCCATGTCGTGTGTTGAGTCGTGAGTGATAGTCATCTTTTTCCTGCGCTTCTGCTCCAGGTGCCCCTGTGGGAGAGATAGAGATGCGTTACTGTGACTCTACCTCCAATCCCTCGTGATCAGTGGAGTTCTCACTGCAACACAGTGGAATATAAACCCCAAAGTCTTGGCTTATGACCCCATGATCACCAACACTGACTTACGGGGCAAATATTTCAGAGTTAGACCGGTGAACAGTCAACTATAAACTAATGAAATCTTTCCACGTAAGTCCCACTGAGCGATAGAGCTCTTTTTCAGAAGCGACCTGGCCACAAATGATAGCTCAACGAAGTGGTTCATCTCGTGGAAATACTGCAGGACGCGGAGAAAAATCCATGCGATCATGGAGAAAGACTTGAAATCTCAAAATATTTAGGGATGTCAGGTCTGGGATCAAATCCACGACCTCCTGTATACCAGGCGAGGTAGTTAACATCTCGCCACCCTCATGAGGACCAACACTGATTTGCAAGACATATTTCAGAGTGAGACTGGTTGATATTGATCTGTGTTGAGAGTAACTTAGGACTGGTAATTTCTGGTGTTACAAATGCACATGGTGCAGGTCTTGCAGAAGTGGTGGTCAACACACAAGGATATGAATAATACGCGCATGAGACCGTGTTTATTTTAGCCGCACGAATATGAACACTGAAGGTCGCGCATCCAAGAAGAGGTCCACAAAGTAAGACGCAGAGATGACATTGGCTCGTGAGCAGGCGCTGGTGGATTGTTGCATCGCAGCATCATGAGATGTGGCAATGGCTTGGGGAGGACTTCATCAATAAGTGGATAGAGCATGGCTTATGATAATCATGAATACCGTGTGCATTGTTGTTGTATGGTTGATTTAAAAGTAAAATACCATTAACATTTAGTTTATATTCACAATGAAACCAATTTAATGGGAATCTGTTAAAGGACGGGAAAGTTAATAAATTCAACTGAGGAAATATGAGCTGGCCTTCCACATGGTAGCTACTGGAGCTGCGATGCGAGTCCATGAGTGGAGCTTTGTTCTCAAGCCCAGTGGATGCAAACTCTCATTCAGGAGCCTCCCTCTGCTGCTGCTCCTGGTGAGAGGGCTCTGTGCCAATAGCGACACTGGAGACTCATCGCTCACCTGCAGGAACGCGAGCGAGTCCCTCTCCTGTGCTAGGGCCTGCAGGCGAGTGGCTGCTGCCTGGAGCTCGCTGATCTCGCGCTGGTAGTGAGCGATCTTCTTCTCGATCTGGGACAGCAGGTCGCGCCCTTTCAGCTCCGCTTGCTCTAAAGCCGCCTTCTCCTCCGCATCCAACGCTGCTCTCGCGCGGGTGAATCTGACCGAGATTGAGGCCTTTTCATCTGCCATGGATCCCTGCAAAGAGAAATAAATGCCACCTCTGGTCCATTGTGAAATGACCCGAGTGCAACTCTAAGGTGTCCAGACAGTGATACGAGTCTGCAGCACTGAGGCCTCCTTCTTCCTCTGCCTCTGATAACGCCACTGTGCATTTTCAATACAACACGATTCGCGATAACTGGCGGGGGCTGTGAGGCAATGAAATCATCAAATACCATCATGAGTACATTTAGCATCCATGCCATTGTCATTGTGCAAGGTTATCAGGACGATGCTTTGTTTACCTTCGCATGAAGAGAAGGGAATTCTGTAAAGAGCCTCAATGAAATGGGAAGTATGGCCAATTCCTCCTTAAATTAATATTTTGAATGTGAGAGAAAACCACATGTACGGCTGAAGAGAGGGGATCATGAAACCACTTGCTATACTGCCACCTGGCCACCCCAAAGCTTGAGTGATGTCAGTAAGATGGCGTACAATAGTCTGTGTATGATCACCAACTCTGCCACCAGAGAATTGGATAAAAGGTACGTACCACATCATCTGACCAATTTAGTTAACAGTCGTTGAAGTGGTAAGTTGTATGGAGATATGGGAATGTGGAATTTCCACCACTGATTCAGTTTTTCAGTGGAGATGAGAACCACCTCTTTGCTCGTCCTGATTATTGAGGCGTATTAAGTGTTGTGTCTTTAGTCTCACGATGTATTTAGAGCCAATGGAAGTCCACGTGAATGAATGGAGTTCTCCTCCATCACAAACCCTACTCAGGGTGGAGTCACGGGGTCACAGAATCTGGCCCAGACGTGGTACCTGCATGTCCCTGCGAGCGGCCTCCATCCGCCTCACGGACTCCTCCGCCTCCCTCCTCTTCTCCTGCACCGCCCGCGTCTCCTCTCCCACTTGTTTCTGTGAGAAACGTCACCAGGGGAGACTCCACTCACTCTCTGAGCATCCCCTCTCATCCCGCTCCACGCGAACCCCTCCACAGTGACGGGGGCAGTAGCCCCGGTGCAGCGATGGTGGCTGGGGGAGCAAGCGCTGCAGGGAACTGATTTCACGGGGAGCTCAAACGTGTTCAGGGCTACCTGAGTAGTGGGTGGAGCTACCTGAGCAGTGGACGTGGCTACTGGAGTTGTGGGTGGGGCTACCCGAGAAATGAGCGGGGTCACCCAAGTGGTGGGCAGGGCTAACCTAGTGGTGGGTAGGGCTACCTGAGTAGTGGGTGTGGGCTACCTACTTAGTGGGTGGGGCTACATCTGTAGTGGGTGGAGCTACCTGAGCAGTGGGCAGGGCTACCTGAGCAGTGGGCGTGGCTACTGGAGTTGTGGATGGGGCTACCTGAGTAATGAGCGGGGTCACCCAAGTGGTGGGCAGGGCTAACCTAGTGGTGGGTAGGGCTACCTGAGTAGTGGGTGGAGCTACCTGAGCAGTGGGTGGGGCTACCTGAGCAGTAGGTGGGGCTACCTGAGCAGTGAGCCGGGCAACCCGAGCAGTCGGCGGGGCTGAGTAGTGGGTGAACAGGGAACCGGAGTGGCGAGATGTTATCTGCCTTGCCTGCTATGCAGGAGGTTGTGGGTTTGAATCCGACCCTGATACCTGTGTCGTGAGTCACTTCGGAGACACTAGTTAGGAGGCAACGTTTATTCTACACTATACAACACCGTTACACACGGGACTACAATATGAAGATGAAGACATAGCACTTGGGTTCACTTCGCCTGCAGACAGCCCCGATCTTTGATCTTTGATCTGGGCTGTCTGCATTTGGCTTCTCTTTATCTTTTATCTCTCTCAGTGCTGCCTAGCTCCGTCCTCGGTTGCGCCCCCTTCTGTAACATTCCTGCAGGTTCCAGGCTATCTTGCACGTGCCACCTGCCCGGCTCCGCCCTTAACCACGCCTCCTTCAGGAACTCTCCAGAAGATTCCCGGCTACACTTCCCGTGTCCCATCAGTCACCTTGGCCCCACATTCCTCACCACGGCCCATCACGTACTTCACCCGAGTCCGGGGTGACTCGTCCTCATATGCCCCCTTCCGCCAGCAGCCCGCACCACACTCTACTCTGTCGGTAGGACTCATCAGCCTCTCTCTGCTAGCACCCAGTGCCACGCACGCTAGCGACCCACTGTGTGGTACTGCATGGTGTGCTCGCCTCTACACCCATATTTCCTCATTCTACTGTACTTAGTGCTACGTGCTGTAGTGATCAATTCTATATCACTACACCTGTATATATGCAGTTTGCATGTCTCTCTCCATGGTCGCTTGGATTTTTCTCTGGGTCCTCCGATTTAGGAAGGTGCGTTTAGAGTATTTGGCTGCTATACATTTAGACCTGATAAGCTACTTCGTTGAGCTGTCATTTGTGGTCAGGTTGTCAACTACATAGCTCTGTGAGTTTCACTTAGTCAAATAAAAAAATGTTGTAGTTTAGTTTTACATGGCACAAGGAGGGGCTGCCATGTCTCTGTTGAGTGTCGGAGAAATTCGGTGAAGAGCATCTTTATGAAAATATAAATACGGTCACGAAATACTTGGTCTGTCAAAATCAAGCGAGATTTCTGGAACGCCAAGCCCAGTTTATAAATTTTCCATAAAACAGGATTGGTAATAACTTGCGGATGTATTATCTATGTACTATGACATCAGCATACTTTATAATAAAACAATGTTGTTAAAATGTTAAGGAACAATGGGCAGTTGAGAGAGGAATGATATTTAGTTCGATATTATTGTTCATTTCATGCTGGGAAATGATGACTTCACGCAGGAGAGGTTCCCGCTCACACACGCAGACCGTCTCACCTCCCGTGTCTTGTGCTCATCCTCCAGCGTCGCCACATCGTGACCCTTGTGGTCTCCTGCGATGTCGGCAATAAAACTTGATCTTCTTTCTGTGTGTCTTGCATTTGCGTTCTTCAGGATTCGTACCTGGATCCACCAGAATGTGGCTATTTAACTTCGGGTTCTCCTGATGAGGCTTTACATGAGTCGCACAGTAGGACATATCACACTTGAGGCAGGTCTTCGAGGCAGCGGTCGTGCCATCGTTGCAGAAGTCACAAAAGACCACGGTGGCCATTTTGTCTGCGGCACTACGCTGCTCCACCAGGTTGGTGAGCGTCACACTCTTGTTCAGCTTGGGCTTCTGAGGGAAGGTCGCTCGGCACTGTGGGCAGGAGAAGCACTCTGCCGCATCCCAGGCGCCCTCCTCACCTCAACTCACCTCACCCCATCGTAACTCACCTCACCTCATCCGAACTCACCTCAGGGGCCGTCCATAAATGACGTCACACGATTTTGGACCCCCCCCCTCGTCACACGGCGTCACAAAAAGTCAGACCCCCCTCAAATATGACGTCACAAAGCTCTGCCCCCCCACCCCCAAAACCATCTTTCCATTTTGAAAATAAAACTTTCTTCAAATCGCTTTAAACTATTGTCATTGTAGTGCGTATTTAATGTGGTGCTGCACTCTGATGTTGTAGGAGAAAACACGTATTAAAAAGGAGGCGTTGGAAAGCTTAAATTTAGCATAAAATTCACTTGAAAATATTCAACATCTAACTAAAACTGCAGATGTTCAGAATATTATATTGAAATTATCTTATAATTATAAAACATTAAAAGTAATTATAACTATAAAAAATACTTGAAACTTTGTAGAAGAACGAAGCAAAATGGAGAGTACAATAAACAGGACCCTGCGGGGTGGGCTGGTAGGAACGAACAATTGAATGGCTATAATAAAATGAAATGGCAAAAAACGGCCGCCAATAAGTGGATGCCCCGTGGCCCCGCCCTCCACCCGCGTAACCTCGCCCCGGCCACCCGTGGCCCCGCTCCATCTCGGTGTCCCCGCCCCCAGCTCGTTGCCCCGCCCCTTACCGCCGTAACCCCGCTCCAACCCCACGTAGCCCCGCCCTCCACTTCGTGCCCGCGCCCCCTGCCGCCGTTGCCCCGCCCAGCCCCGCGTAGCCCCGCCCCCTGCCGCTGTAGCCCCGCCCAATACACCCCTCGCGGGGGAGAGATTCCCAGGCCTGGCTCGGCTGGAGAGCCGCCGACGAGGGGGGGTAGGGAGTTGTTTTTAATGTAAAAGCTTTTAATGTAAATGTTGCTATTTAAAAACATCAGGGAATGTAACATTATTAAACATTCACTCCCTTTCACACACGCGGGGGTACGATACGAAGGGAGAGTTTGAGGCCTAGGTCTAGGCTTTAGGCCTAGCTGTAGGCCTTAGGCCGCCGTGAGTTAATTGTTAATATAAATGTTTTAATTATTTATGTAAAAGCTTTAAATGTAAATGTTTCTATTAAAAAACATCAGGGAATGTAACATTGTTAAACATTCACTCCCTTTCACACACGCGGGGGTACGATACGAAGGGAGAGTTTCAGGCCTAGGTCTCGGTTTTTGTAGGGTCATGCCAAGTGTTTACAGTAGGGGGCGATGTTGCTACACGGACGGACGGACGGACGGACGGACAAACGGACGGACGATATAATCTATTGGTTTCTGGTCCACTTCGTTCCTACCAGTATAACAACAATATATTCAGTCCATAGAATGAAAATCCCTGGTAGAATGATTAGAATAAAAATGTTAACTAACAATCATTAAAAAAAAATTCAAAATGTATGCTTCTCCATTCTCCCATTGAGAAGCAAAATGCTGCTTCATGGAATAAATAAAAGGTGACCTTAGTAAATTTAAATAATCAAATAGTTAATAATGAAAATGTATCCAAATTAGTGTTGTTATAATAGTTCAATATTTATTTTAAGTTGAAGTCACATTTCTCAACCACCCCCCTCGTCACGCATCGTCACAAATGTCTAACCCCCCCCCCCCAGGTGCGTGACGTCATTTATGGACGGCCCCTTACCTCATCTCACCTCAACTCACCTTACCCCATTGTAACTCACCTCAGCTCACCTCAACTCACCTCACCTCAACTCACCTCATCTCACCTCATCTCACCTCAACTCACCTCATCTCACCTCAACTAAATTCACCTCAACTCGCCTCAACTCACCTCACCTCAACTCACCTCATCTCACCTCAACTCACCTCACCTCAACTCGCCTCAACTCACCTCACCTCAACTCACCTCATCTCACCTCAACTCACCTCACCTCAACTCGCCTCAACTCACCTCACCTCAACTAAACTCACCTCAACTCACCTCATCTCACCTCAACTCACCTCATCTCACCTCAACTCACCTCATCTCACCTCAACTAAACTCACCTCAACTCGCCTCAACTCACCTCACCTCAACTCAACTCACCTCATCTCACCTCACCTCAACTCACCTCAACTCAACTCACCTCATCTCACCTCACCTCAACTCAACTCACCTCATCTCACCTCAACTCACCTCACCTCAACTCAACTCACCTCATCTCACCTCACCTCAACTAAACTCACCTCAACTCGCCTCAACTCACCTCACCTCAACTCACCTCATCTCACCTCAACTCACCTCACCTCAACTCAACTCACCTCAACTCACGTCAACTCAACTCACCTCAACTCACCTCATCTCACCTCAACTCACCTCACCTCATCACCTCACCTCAACTCGTCTCAACTGAACTGACAGGGGAATGTGGGAGCTGACGTCCACCTCCCCGCTCCCCGTGAGCGGGCAGGGCGTGACGTCCACCCCCTCCACTCTCCCCTCCTCCACTTCAGCCGCCTCTCGCCGCGCCCCCGCCATGCGAGTGATCGCCCCCCCCCGCGCCAACGCCCTCTTTGAGGGACATCGCTACTCGGCTGGCTCACCACCGCCCGGGGTTATCTCGCACACGCCCATGTACACCACCACCACTAATGCGGAGGTGGCTGCGTGCACGCGCGCGCCCCTGCTGGCGCTTGTTGCACACAAAGGCTCGCGCAAAAAAATAGCCATATGGATATGCACGCGCCCCTCCCCGTGGCTAAGCCCTAATCCGCTGTGTAACTATGCTACGCGAAAAAGGGGATGGCTGCGGCATGACCCTGGGTGCACGCATCACCTCTAAGGCTATTTTCACTATGTCTGCGCGCCTTGTAAAGGCGTGCGAACGCCAGCGAGCGGGTGGATCGACCCCACCTTAATCACTCACGCGGCGCTGCGTCTTTCAGCTTTCTTTCAGCTTCTCTTTAAGTTTAACACTTTAAACTACTTGATGAAAATAATTTGTTCCTGTCTCAAAGTCGCGTTCTAGTTATCAAGCTGTGAGACACCGGTCGGAGTTGCCGTGTTGAACTCAAGCACGTGCCTGCGGCTCAGGGTCCAGTTTGTGGAGCCACAAACCACCGGGCGAGGCCCTTTGCTGAAACCGGCGCCGTGACCCGCTCGCTCATGTGGGTGGGGGGCAGGCGCCCCAGGGGTAGAGTGGTTGTATCACATCAACATCAGCGCGTAAAAAATAAATAGTACCTTTTAAACCGATATAAAAGTGTGAGAAAATAATAGTAATAATAGGTTTTACCATTTCTGGCAATAAAACATGAGTTGTGTTAAGATGTTCAAACACCAAATACGTTTGTGTGGTTAATGCAGACTTTATTCCTTGCAAAAGACATCAATTTTGCATTTGAACATCTTAACATCTCATGGGACCTCCCTTGCCAAAATCAAAATACAGTAATCCCTCGCCACTTCGCGGTTCAAGTTTCGCGGCCTCAGTGCATCGCGGATTTTTCAAAAATATTCATCGAAAAATAAAAATTCAAAAATACCGCCATATCAGCAGCCGTATTGCGGAAAGCAGCGTTGTTTCATCGTGATGCGCGAGGGAAACGGTTTCCCAGGATGCCAGACAAAGAGACAAACTCTCTCAGAGGCTTTGTACATACTGTACCCACGGGCACTCAGACAAGGCACGTGATTGGTTCCCGGCGCGAGATCGACGAATGAGAGCACGAGTGGATGTACAGTATCCCGTGAGCTGATTGGCTGCGCATCATCGCATCCTCTCCCAGCTTCTTCCCTTGTTGTTTCTCGCCACTCTCGTTCTGTGTCTCGCGTATCTTAGTGTTGTGTTCGAAATTAACTGGTGAGTGTAGAACACCATAATACGTATCGTATGAGAGAGAGAGAGTGAATGTACTGTATAATATTAAGTTTTCATAATTAAAAAGATTTAAGTAAAATATTTGTGAGTGAGTGAATGTATAATATTAAGGTTTTATAATTAAATATATTTAAGTAAAATATATATAAAGTATAAATATACATATGTAAAGTAGGAGCCGACACCAGATTGCAGGGGTCTCGTCCTTTATTCCTTTCCTTCCATCCACATCTGTCCCCAGCCGTCCCAATCTCGTTCCCGCCAAAGGCCCCTTCTTCCCGCCCGTTCTCTCCTTATATCTCTTCGATCACCCCTCCCACTAACCCATCTATTGGTGGGAATCCTTCCCCTGACACCCCTACATCACCCCCCCCCCCCCCCCCGGAGAAAAAATAACCGTCCTCGGTTCTGCCTCCCCCATGGACCATTTAAATCTCCCCATGCCTCCCACCACTGACAGTGACGACAGCCCTTACCCCCCCCCCCACAACCATACAATGCAACATAACACAACGAAATCAATTGCGCGGCCTGCCCAGGTCTCCAGCCAGCATCCCGTAACAGCCCGGACATCCACAGGCAGCAGATGACCGTGGCGGCCCCCTCCTTCGAAGGCCCTCTCGTCGCGGTCCCTGGTTCGGTGGTGCCGGTGTCGCCTTGCCTGGCGCCGCTGTCTCTCCGGCCCCCGCTCGTGCCGCCGCTCCGTCAGGCCTCACATGGGGTGCTGTAGGTGACAAGGGAACACAGGGCACCGAACCCCCTGCCGGTCGGCGCGTGGTGGTCGGCGACCTTGGCCTGGGTAGGGATGATGATGATGTTGGCAGTGATGTTGGTGGTGATGTTGGTGAAGATGACGGTGGAGAGATGTATGGCTTAAGGCGGGTGGGGTGTACAAACCATCGTCGCTTACCCAGTTGGACCTGGACGCACTGCGGTCGGAGTGCTTTAATGACCTCGACCGGCCCTTTCCAGGGTCGGTGCAGCTTTGGTGAGAGGCCAACCGGCACCTGAGGACAGTGTAGCCATGCCTGGTCCCCGACTTTGAAGGGCTTGGCTGTCACTGTCCTCTCCCGTATCCGTACATTACTCTCTTGGCTCGTGGCCGATGCGGCCTCGGCTGCTTGGCGGGCCTCTCTCAAATAAATGAGGGAGGTCTTTAGTGCCTTCGGCCATGCGTCGGCTCTTGCGGGAATGTCCGTCAGCTGCACCTCAATAGGCGGAACGGGATCCCGTCCGTACATCAGGAAAAACGGCGAGAACCCCGTCGCCGCGTGTGGGGCCACCCTGTACGCCGCTAAGACAGATGGAATGTGGAGGTCCCAGTCGGAATGGTTTTCGTCCACCACTTGGGACAGCATGGCCGCTATGGTGCGGTTAAGCCGCTCTACCATCCCATCGGTCTGGGGATGATACGGAGATGTTCGGACCTTTTTAGTGCCCAGGATAGAGCAGACGACCTTCAATAGCTGTGAGGAGAAATTCCTGCCCTGATCCGTGAGCAACCGCTCCGGTGCCCCCTTATCAAGGACATAGCCTCCCACGAAGGCATCGGCGATGGTCTGTGCCGTTTGGTCCGGGAGGGCCCACGCCATCGGCCACCTCGTGCAGTACTCGACTCCGACCAACAGGTATTTATTTCCCCGTGGCGTGACCGGCAGTGGTCCCAGGATGTCCAACGCAACCAATTCGTTGACCCTGGTCACCGTGATGGGCTGTAGGGGCGCCCGGCTTACCCGGGGTGGCGGCTTTCGCCGCGCACATTCGACGCAGGTAGCGACCCATCGATGCACGTCAGCGGTCATACCTGGCCAAAAGTACCGACTCTGTAATGTGTACAGTGTCTTCCGCCCCGCCAGGTGCAGCAGCTGGCGGCCGTGTACGTCCATAACCAATTGTTGACGCAGCGACTCCGGAACTACCAGGCATCGTCGGCGCCCTGTCGGGTCCCATCGCATGAGGAGGTCCTCCCATACGATGTACTCCTCCCCCCCTGCCTCTGCTGAGTCGCGTAGCGTTCGCAGTGGGGCTTCCTCCAGCTGTAGCCGTCACCAATCGTCCAAGGTCAGCCCCAGGTCGTGGTCGGTCAGCTGGACCTCACCCTGTGCGTCCTCCGCCGTGCGTACGGGAGCGATGACTGTCCCCTCCGGCCTCGCCTCCTTGCAGCGTGCCCCGCCTGTGGTGCATGCACAAGGGCCCTGGGGCGCCAGTCGGGACAATGCGTCTGCGTTGGCATGTCTGGTCCCTTTGCGATGCACTACTTGGTACCTGTACTCCTGCAGGTGCTCTATCCATCTGGCCAGCTGGCCCGAAGGCTGGTCGATGCGGAGCGAATACTGCAAGGCCGCGTGGTCAGTGCGGACCGTAAATTTGCGACCATACAGGTAGGGTCGAAATTGCTGCACGAAGTGAACGACTGCCAGGAGTTCCCTACGTGTGACGCAGTAGCGCTGCTCCGCTGATGAAAGCACGCGACTACCATAGGCGATAACCACCTCGCGACCCTGCTGGACTTGCGACAAAACACTGCCGATGCCCACATCGCTGGCGTCCGTGTCCAGGATAAAGGGGAGGCCAAAATCCGGAAAGGCCAATGGTGGTGCATCTGTCAGACGTGAGCGCAGCTGCTGGAATGCCTCTTCCTCCAGAGGGCCCCAATAAAACCTCTGGTTCTTCGCCGTCAACACGTGCAAGGGCTTGGCAATGGTTGCGAAGTTGGGTACGAACCGGCGGTAATAAGAAACGAAACCCACAAACCGGCGTACCTCTGGAACCGTTGTGGGAACAGCCCAGGCCCTCACGCAGGCCGTCTTTTCCGGGTCTGTAGCCACTCCAGACTCACTGACGATGTGGCCCAAGTAGCGTACCGACGACTGCATAAGGTGGCACTTCGATGGCTTGAGCTTCAAGTTCGCGTTCCGGAACCGCAGGAATACCTGACGCAATCGGTCAATGTGTTCCTCGAATGATCGGCTGAAGACAATGACGTCATCCAGGTAGATGAGGCACGTTTCCCATTGGAGGCCTGCTAAGGCCAACTCCATTATGCCTTGGAACGTCGCCGGCGCAGTCTGGAGGCCCATAGGCAGGCAGTTGAACTCGAACAGGACCTGTGGTGTCCGGAACGCTGTTTTAGGCCGGGAGTCCGCGTCTAGTGGGACCTGCCAGAACCCGGACAATAAATCCAGCGTACTGAAAAATTTTGCTCCCGCCAGTGCATCCAATGAGTCGTCAATACGTGGTAGGGGATATGCGTCGGCCAGCGTGACGGCATTGAGGCGTCGGAAGTCCACACAGAATCTCAGTGACCCGTCTGACTTCTTGACTAGGACCACCGGTGCCCCCCAGGGACTCGAGGATGGAGAAATTATGTTGGCCCGCAGCATCTCCTGCACCGCTTGTTGAATGTGCCCTTTTTCCATTGGGCTCATTCTATATGTGTTTTGGCGCAGGGGTGCGGCATCTCCCGTGTTAATGTGGTGCTGCGACAGATTTGTGCGCCCTAGGTCGAACGGTCCCCGGCTGAACACGTCCAAGAACTCATGCAATAATGAGTGCAGCTGCTGTTTCTGGTCGGGCGGCAATCCCGGCTCAGGCCCCGCCAGCTGGTCCATCCACGATTCGGCCCCTCTGTCCTCGGACTGGCTGATGCTGCCTACAA